TTGCTCATTGATGTCTTCGCCACTCTTGTGTTCAGAAACATAATAAATGAAGGAAACTCAATTCATTTCTTTTATAAATGGTTTCGAGCATGTTGTGTTTCTTCTCAGAAATTCGGCCTCTTCGCATTTGCGCTCAGGTGCAATAGCTGAACGAGGCACGCTCTTATGACCCTAGTGTCCGTTTCTGTGGTAAAGCGGTTACGTTGCGTGGCTGTTGACCCAGAAGTTTGTGGGTTTGATCCTGGCTGTGGAGGTCGTGTTTTGATGGAGGCAAAAGTAAAGATGCCTGTGTACTGTGCAATGTCACTGCATGTTAAAGAACACCATATGGTCAAAATTTCTGGAGCCCTCCACTAGCTAATCATATCGTCATTTTGGCATGAAACTAGATGCTCTTTCAGACCACCCATGCACTGAGCACCTTGTTTTTTTATGCTTAACAAACATCGATGTCACGTTTCAGTGAGCTGGCAGCTGCCTCCACATGACACAAGGAAGTTAGTTTATGAATATTGGACCTCTTATGCCTTTACAGGCTTGCACCACATTCATTGCATGCAACCCGATATGATGAGGCTTCCCTGCTATTTGTTGGTATTGCTCCCTAATGCACAAGTTTTCAAAGCAAGATCAATAGCCACCTGTATCCTGCCTCGAGAGAGGACATTTTCTTTCTACATGTCACATTCCTTACCTAAGCTTTCTGGACTCCCAAGAAGTCCCATCACAATGTACTTTTCCGTATAGAAAAAATGGTAGAAAACTATTGCAAGCCTGACAAAATTGATTCTCACAGTTTGTGGAAAAACCTCCTAAAAGGCTGCAGGCCTTCCCATGCTCCAATTTGTGAAACCTTTGCCTCGCATTCACTTGGCACGTTTCGTTGTACTCTTGTGTGTCCCAGAGTGATTGGTGTGCCCATATGCAGGTTACCAAACCCCAGGTGGTCAAAATTTCCGGAGCCCTCCACTATGGCGTTTCTTGTAATCATATGGTGGTTTTGCAACGTTAAAACGCCAACAATTATTAGCGAGTCATGAAACGAAAATTATTGGTGATGCAGTGATCAAGAGGCCTTGCCTCGCATATATCTGATGTTTAGCTGCTTATATTTAACAGTAGTGTTCAGCAAAACGGCACACGTGCCAATGTGTCTTGATAAAAAAGCACTGAAGAGGTATGAATTACTTTAATAACAATTTCTGCGTTGCACTCTGGCTCAATCAGTACAGTAGTTTCATGACTGCATCGAAACTGCTCAATCAGTTCGTTTTGTTCAGCTTCCTCTCTCTTCAATGCATTCAGCTGTATTCTCAACCTGAAAGCAAGAAAGAACAAGAATGGGGAAATGTGCACCATGCTATTAGAAAATGACAACCATTTTGGCTCTTCAACATGGCACTAAGTGCTAAATATTCTTCGAGGCTTTGTTGTCATTTCTATATTCATCGGTTTGAGGGGGCTGATCGAAGACTTGAAACATGTCTAATGCAACGTGGATGTTAAACGAGTCTAAGAAAGATAAAGACACTGTGTCTTTTGCGTTTGTTGGTCTTGTTCGATGTCTTTGACAAATAAGATATGTTTCAAGTCTTTAATATGCAACAAGTAACCCAACTTCACTTTACAACATGACTGATCAAAAGGACACCAGCCGATTCCTTCCGCTTTGAAGTAACCGAGCGAAAATGTTAATAGCCTACATCTGCGTTTGCTGGGTGACGCTATACTACTACGTTTCACACATCTGGTGCAATACTGTGGAGGCTTTGCTAACAGTTCGGCCAGCAAAACGTACAGTTCCGCGCGTCTCGTGGTCTGTCGCGTGACATCTCATTAGCGTCGGTGCACCCTCGCATTTCTATGTGCTCCCTATCGGTGAAACTGGTGAACAGAAGGAAGCGGAAAGAGCACAAAGGAAAGCGGGGATCGAACGACCGTCTGTATTATCCAGCACTGACACCAACTCATGAGATTAAGTCCAGGAGGCTGCCATCGTTTTGCACCCAGCGCAAAGAGCCTGTACGTGACATGACAATGGATATAGCGTGAAAACACGCACCATATCTTCCGTTTATAAATCTCGCCATTTATATATCGCGCTATATCTGCTGTGCTATATCTGCTGTTCTCCAGCTATATCTATCGTCATGTCATACCAACTAGCCCAAACCGCTTGTGTACATGACATCACGTGGAAACTAAAATATGGAGACGCATAATAACAGACACTTAACAGCGTTGCTATTTGTAAGGCGCAAAATATTTTGAACATAGAAGTATTTTTTGTTGAGAATGCATCAACAGAAGAAGCTTTGCCAGCCTCCACAGCGTTGCAGATAATGTATGAAACAAAGTATAGAGCACCCATTCTGATTACATAAAGGAGTAATAGATACAAGTGCTGATTGCACACACTGTCAAATTATTTTTTGTTAAAACACATGCATCTACAGAAGCACGCTTGCCAAATTGAGACCGGTATAATTTCAAGGCATGCTAGGAATTTTTGTACCATACAATGGCACTGATGGTAATGTGCTGTGTTAATTCTTGTTAGCGCTCCTCAATTATTTAGGATGTCCACTTTTTATTAGCAAGCGTGCTTCTCCGGTCGCATGTGATCGTGAGCGTATGTATAGACCATAGGCATAGACGGAAAGAGGGCTAGTGGGTTCTGACCCTTCCATCTTGCAACTTGTGCAGTTTGTACACATGTTGCAGGCATGTTCATAAAGAGGGGTCACACCCTTCCTGAAATAAAATCCTTTCTACACCAGGCAAGGCCTTGACATCCCCACGCGGGAGACCCAAGGCCTGGTTGGTTAAAGCTCTGCCGAACTACCAATAAAGTTGTTACCAACCAAACCCCTGATTTATAAATGTTGTCCACCCCGTGACCACTTTCACATTGCGCACTTTGTCATTCCTATCTTGTCTTTAAAGCTTCAATATAAAAGTGAAACCTTTCCAGCTCTATCTTCTTTTCTAGCACGAGCGCTTGAAGCTGCTGCTGTTGTGTTTCACGGTCTTTCACGACAGACTTCAGCAGGTTCCGGGATCCGATGGCCTGCAACGACATGAACATTTATTAGGTACATCCACGGTTTTGAAAAGTATAAACTGAAAGTATGAAGTAGGGCCTCAAGAAATTCCCCAAAAGTACTAAATGTTAGCCGCCAAAATAAGCGAATGTGTTTGGAACGAGCATACAAATTATCTCGGAGGTAAAAGAGTGATGGCTTTGGTTGGAGCTTGGACTCATTCTTTTTTTTATGATAACTGCATTTTATGTCATGTAGCAGCATGGTATGCAATACGTTATTACAATGAAATCATAGCTTGGTGCCTTGTAAACAGCCAAACCCAATAACATTTTCTAAGATGATGTACATAATTACTTTTTTCTCTATATTGTTTAGAAAACTGATTTGTTTACAAACTGAAGTGTATGTGTTCAGCAAAAGGTTATTAAACTTTTTATTAAATTATTCCTCAGCATATGCAAATTTGTAGGAAATATTTATGTTAAAATGTTACGTAAACATCACTGGAAAGTTAAACTGCTGTAATAATTTTTGTACGATTACAGCATTTTCCGAAGTTTTCTAATATAACCATCAATTTTCTGCGTTTCCGACTGAATGTTGCACGAATATTTCAAATTAAGCATTGATGTAGTATTGTACTTATGATAACGTCCGACATACAACAAAAACGTTATATGTTGTGTGTGAAACGTTAGGCAAGGTTGTTGGAAAACATGCAACTTTAAGAAAAGGTCCTCTGCATCAGTTTCCTCATCACCTCTAGTCACTCTATCATCGACTTCGCCTCCACTACGCACATGTGTCGCTTTGGCTTGACCACTGACCCATACTGTGACAACCATGGTGCAATAGAAACCATAAAAAAATATTTTGTTAGATTTCCAGGCATACAGAGAAGAAAGAGCTCGTCTCCAAAGTAGAATATACGCTCAATTTCCCAAGCCACGCTAGATCAAATATTGGACCTATGTCCTCCTTTTCTCAGCTTGTTAGATTTTAAAAGTTCTGTTCGTGTTCCTAGAGGACATTAAATGAAGTGGTAAAAGGTGGTAGTGGTTAGAAGATGAGTAAAGGCACCTAATTTCTGCAACCCGGTCGGGAGCACGGCGCAGTGCCTATGTGATAAAAAGTACAGTAACAATTGCATCACAACTGCTAGTTGTGACGTACACATATCACGATCACCATATTTCATTTTTTTTTTGTTTGTTACTTCTCATTTCTTGCCCTCCTCATCCGAGGTCCATTATTTCCTCCACAAACGTGTAAGTGCTTCTACATACGCCGTCAGAATTATACGTTTCTAATTAAATAGCTTCTCTCCCCCTCTCGTCTCCCCTCTCCTCAGGCCTCTCACCTTTAGTTTTTAGCAGGCTCTCACCTTTAGCTTTTCGTGTTCTACTTCCGCAGCCAGTTTGTCTGATATGGCAATGTACTTATCCACGACGGACTGGAATTCGGTCATCCCTGGAGGAAGGTTGGGAGAATTGTAATCAATCATTCGATCATGCGCGAAGAAACGGGGTCCCAACAAAACATTCGAGACGCGCCTTACTCTCGATGAATTTGTGGCAATCATCCTTGAGCTCCTGCGTTTCCCTGATCGCATCCGGATCAGCGATGCGAATTTTGTTCAGTTCGTCGACGTAAAGCCCAGCCCGCGAGAACACCTTCGTTAGCCATTTGTGGCCATTTGTAAACAGTCGCGTTGTCAAGGTAACAGGCATATTCGTTTATGCATGATCATTTGTGTCGGCAATTATCTGTTATATAAGCAATATCACAGCCATAACACAATGTAGAAAAATCAAAACCGAGGTTTTGTTTTCAGTTTATTTTATATTTTTTTACACAATTACGCGCGTTTCGTTGTGTGTGATGACGTCACGGCACCTTGTAGCGCGCTTTTTTGGGTCTTTTCGAATAAGCTGCGCTTTCCGAATATTGCGATTGCCTTCAACGCAATGTCGTAAGTTTTGTCTTACGATAAAACCCACGGGGTCTTGGAAAAACTTTCAATCTGGCTCGTGACGATCAACGGTGATGACTTGAGTGTGCTCCCGTGAACGATCAATGAAGTGCACCGACTGAAAAAAAAGTGTACGGACTGGACGTTCGAAACCGTGTTTCAAGTAGACAACTGGATCGACGCAGCCCACACGAAAATGGCAGCGTGCACGCAAGTGGTAGTTATAAACACCAATCCGCAGGGAAGACGCCCGAACTTCAGCCGAGCCGAAATCGAAGCGTTGGTCGCGGGATACAAGAAGCATAGGACTGTGTTCGAACGGCGGTACGCGGGCGTCTCCAAAAGTAGGAGCGAAGCGTGGGACTCGATAACGCAGTCCCTCTTTGCCGTTTCCGGAGTGCATCGAACCACGGCCGAGATCAGAAAGAAATGGCACGACTTGAAATCGTTATGCAAGAAAGGTAAAGTATCTCTGGTTTACAGCACCGAAGCCGTTCACGCGCCAGTAACGCCTGCCAACTCTCGTCTCCGATCGCTCTCATTAGCGTCACTTGAAGCCACCGTGAACCTGAGCGTAGTTTCTGGTGCAGTAGCTGAAGTGTGGCATCTTGGGCTAGTCGGTACGGCATGACGATAGTTATAGCGCGAGAACAAAACGACGACACAGAGACAAGGACACGAGCGCTAACTTCCAACTGAGTCTATAGCGCAGAGCGCAATAAACTCAGCTGGAAGTTAGCGCTCGTTTCCTTCTTGTGTCTGTGTCGTCGTTTTGTTCTCGCGCTATAACTATCGTCAGGCTGGAGTAGCCGCTGCGTTGACGTTACTGCAGCCGCCATGTTAGAGTGCCATTAAGTAAGAATCGGCGCCCGTGACGTCACATGCTCCGAATCGAAGTGCGCACGCTGTGTAGTCGAGAGCGCCAACCGTTATTGATCCGAAGTTTCAGTTAGGAAATCCTGGTCGCCCTACTGGAAGTGTATCAAAACATTCATTTAGTAGCACAACCGTATCGTGCGCACGGGAAAAAAGCGGGGTGGATGGCGCCCTAGTCTCCTAAGAGGGGCGGGATGCAATTTAGTCTGCCTCATAGTCTGACCTTATAGGGGTGGAGGGATGCTGTGAAAAACCTTTGCTCCCCCCCCCCGCCCCTCCGGAGGGGGGAAACATTTTCTCCTATGTCTGGAACTATGTGCATGTTAAGGAACCATAGGTGGCCGAAATTTTCGGAGCCTTACACTACAGCGCGTCTCTCATAATCACATAGTGGTTTTGGGATGTTAAACCCCACATAGCAATCAACTTTGGTGGATTGAGTATTACTCGCTGTATACGAGGAAAATTAAGCCAAGTTATGATTCAACATTCATGTCCTCCATCTGTGGCTTCATTTATGTGCTGCATTTTATGCCCGAATATAACACAATTATGCGACATGAAATGTCTCAAAGGAGCAAGGACACTAGAGAGGCACTACTGAAAAAATGAAAACTCATTTTGAATTTAGTTAATGTACATTTGTGTGTGGGCTAAGTGGCCAAGATTTGTCGGTGGCCTTCTTGTGGCCAGGAGGGCAGCCTTTTGTTTTTTTCCGGAAGGTTTCCTGTTTATCCTAGTTGTACATCTTCTATCACTACTTCTGCAGGAGCCAGCTGTGGTGCTACAGCTGGGAACCTTCTTGCTGAAGCTGCCCTGTTCAATAATCACAACGAGCTCGTAATAGGAATCCCTGTGGAAGACTGTTTGCTCGGCAACAGCACAGAAGCCCCAAGTAGCACAGGTGTACTTCCTTGATCATTTTGTTTGCAGGACTGATAATGAAACGTGGTGTATTGTGGTGCAAATGCCAATGATGGCCAAAGTGTGCCGAGGGATGCCTCGTAGGCAAACCAATGAAAAACATATTGAGCTTTCCTTTGGCCATTTGCCTATTTGGGAATTTCTATGGTTGCTTGCTCAAGCAGAAGCCCTTACGTTCCCTTTAAAATAGATGCTAAAGAGAAACACGAAGAACATTTTAATATACTCGGTTTCATTTGTTGAGTAAAGAAAAGTTCACCTACAGTAGTGGAGAAAAATAGTAAGATTTTCGTTTGTATGGTTAACTACAAAGTCAGCGAATTGATCCTGAACTCGTATATTTAATTTTCTCACTCATCTAGGTACTTTTTTTCCACATGTTTTAATGTTGAAATCTTTGCTTTCTTTTAGAATATGTTGCTGATTTTGTACTCATGAACAGGAAGACTAGCATTGAGGAGATGCTTTCACAATTCATAGTAATCGCATGGAGCTGGCTTGAGAGTTCAAGTCGCCCTGTTTTTATTCTTGTCATTTTGGTTTGCAAGCTGTAGCAAAAATGGCCTGTTTTACAATTTCAGTGGTGCAAGCGACACGAATTCAGCTTATTTCAGCATTTGTTCTGTAGACTTGTTCCCTTTGTTGTTCTCTAAATTCTCTGTCTAATAATAGTGGCCACATCGCAGCCATTATCTAAGTCCACTCGATCATGAAAGTTCTGGACACATTTTCTGTAACACTGTTCGCCACAGTCAAAAGAAAGGGAACTTTTTTCGAGGCGCTTGCTCATGTGTTAGATGCAACCCAACGAATCAGACAGTGAGGTCAGGGAAAGCATAGAGGACATCAATTGTTGCATTTAACTGCAGTGTTCTAATTGTGACATAAATTGAAGAAAATTCAAATGAACAAAAAATTACCCATCCTGTCAGTGGGATTCGAACCTGCAACCTTTGAATTCAGAGCTTGCGGGTTTACGTCCCACCTTTGGAACAAGTGACTTTGTGTCCACTCGAATTAATTTTCAATTCACAGTCACAAATTAGAATCAGAAGCTTGTGGACTTCGATTTCATTGCACAAAATGGGTGATCTTTTTGTTGAGTTGGAATTCATTTCAGTTTACCGTGCAATTAGTGCATTGCAGTTAAACACAATTATCATCCTCTTTGCTTTCCCTGGACTAACTGTACATGCAATTCAACTGACTTCACCACAAGTAGCATAGGCCGGAGCCTAAAAGTATTTTAGTTTTGAGGAGGAGGGGAGTGGGAGTGAGGGCTCACCAAATATGTTAAAATGGCAAAAGTTGGCATAGCACACAGCCTCACACCGTGGGTAGCGAGCAGTGCCACATAGTGGAATTCTTTTCTCTCGGGTTGTCATAAGTGATGTAGGTATTGGAGTTAAGTTGATAAAGGTGGTCATTTTGGCCCCCTTTTCATATTGCCTGGTAGTTTCTAGGTGTCAATTTTTACACTTTTCTTTGTAACTTATTCTGCTATGCTTTTTGAACTTTCCTTTCTGCAGGAGCTGATGAGTCGAGCGATAATACGAATACTAATATAGATGTCAAACAAGGTACGTGCTTTTGGTTTACATTCATTCAAAAACATTTAGCTGTCTCTTGTGCCGCAACAAGCAACAAATAAATGATGTAGAGCATATATGGAATGTTATTTTGCTGTGATGCACTTACATATCAATATTTGCAAAGGATTGTGACTTTCATCGTAATGCAAAGCTATATTTGAATTGATATAAGCATAGCTTTACTTGAAGTTGTGTACGCTTCAGTGTTAGAGTTGTGCTTCCTTACCTTCTTCTCTTTCTATGTAGACTGAAGGCTTTGTGAAAAAGAGTGCATATTATACGAGGCTTAGTTCAATTAAGCTTTGCAAGTGTGATTGCACACCAGCATTGCATAAACAAAATAATGAAAGACTACTTGGGAACACTGACTGTATCAACAATGTAATGAATAACTCTAGTGGTGTTCTGAGAATTAGGTAATCTTATGCTGTTTGCACGTGACTTTGTGTAAAGTGTTTTATGTTTATGCTGTGAACTGCAGCTAATAACTTAACAAATAGCAAGCACGTTATGAATTTCACCTGTATACGATCATGTTAGATTTCAGTGTTAGCTTGTCTAACCTTAAATGCTGGCATGTACTCGAAATCGTTTGTTCCGAAAAGGATGTTGCTATTTCAGTTTTTATAACAGCCCGTTTTAACAAAGACTACTTTTACAGATTTGAGTGCTTTACATTTATGAAATTAGTATTCCATCAATATACGGGTTTTTACCTCCATAGTGTAATCTGATGTGCAGGAACCAGCGTGTGTAATTCAATGTGACTCCATAGTGTAATCTGATGTGACTTATTATTATAGTAATGTAGCTACTTTATTAAAAGAATATTTATACAGTAGAGTTGGTTAGTAGTCTGCAGACTCGTGCATTCCTATAAATAGTTTGAAGTCTGAATTTATGGTTGTGTAAAATAATATAAATGTCTGCCAAGTTTCTTGCATACCCTACATTGCATGCCACTGACGACCTTGCACCATTTGCAAAATCTCACATTAAGGGAAGGCGACACCACGCTAATTAAAGGTATCCCACTATTCAGTTATGGCTAATCAGATGTGTACTAGATTTTTCCATGAACATTGATGATGAAAATTGGCTGTGTTCTCTAAGAGCTCCCAAGGCCCTCCTTGAACACACTTTAAAGATCTCCTCAAAGATCCTTTAGTGTCTGCATAAATTTCGTTCCAACTGTACTTCTTATGTTCTTTTTTTTTTTTACTTACAACTCTGTTCATCCTTGTTTCTTCAGAGCCTCCCAGTTCCCCCGAAGAGGCCGTCTGTGATAACGGGTAAGCATATGTGGCATTATGTGCTTCGTCTTCTAAGTAAGGGTCTCAAAAATAGTTTCTGAGTTTGTGCTGCAATTTTCCAGATCAAGCAATCCAGAGCCAAAATGTGAAGGCATCGAACTGCACATAGGTAATTTTTTTTTTTTTTGCCGATGATTGCACTTTTACAGGCCAGACATTTTTTTAAATAAGTATATCTTTTCGTGGCTACAGTTGTGCGTGCTAGCTGCCAAGTATTTATAGATGATTGTAGAGGTGGTAACGATTTGGTGCCGATTACACGTATTGTACAGCATAAAACGCAACAGTGCCCTGCAGTCTTTCAAGAACCACCAGTCACTCACAGGAACATGACTAAAATTTCTTTCCAACTTGGCAACTTCTCGTGCTTTTCGATTTTCAGCAAAAGACATTAGTTTTGCAACAACAACTTCGAAGTTTCATTGATGTATTGGTATGTTATTGTCTACCGTTGAAAGCAAAATAAAAAGGGGGGGAGGGCAAACCAGCTTTTCATAATTTGTCTTTTTTTATAAACTTTGAAAATTCATAATAGGGCATTCTCCTGCTGCATAGACGCACCTGCTGTAATGCAGTTTTAGTGGTTTAAAGCACTTCCGTAAGCCATTTGTTGTTATTGCTTCCAATACGGTATTCATTCTGTAGAAGAGTAGCGACAGGGCTAAACCGAGAGTGTCGCCATCTTATGTCGTGTTGGTCAGAAAAGTTATGCATACATTGTTCTCTAAGTTTCTGCGGTGCTTTATGCTCAGAGGCAAGCCATGGTCCAATTGTTCGAGCATGACAAGATATGGTCAATTTTTTTGCATGTGATTCATTAAATTCATATCTCATAAGTTCCTTTCCCAGCATATCTTCACTCGGCCTTTCACTTTTACCTGTATCCAGTGCCTGCCTTCTTTCCTCCTGCTATGGTAGACCTAGAGGTTATGACGCCTAACTGCTGACCTGGAGGTCGCGGGATCGAATTCCGACTGTGATGACCGTATTTTCGATGAAGGCATAAATACTTTAGGCCCGTGTACTTAGATTTGGGTGCACGTGAAAGGCACACTAAAGAGCAAAACAATTTTTTGCGTACTATGTATTAAAGCACAATTTCACAGTCCCGAGAACATCACTCTGACCGCGAAACCACACTTGGTAAGCGGGAAAACGCTCGGAAAGAAAATGCGGCTGGAGACGCCACCTTGGGATTCCCACACCGAACACCACAACCTCATAAATTTTGAAGGCATTTACAAGGTCCTACGTAGATTGCAGCCCCGCCACCCGCCACGGTGTTCTAGTGGCTAAGGTACTCGTAGGGTACTTCGTACCCGCAGGCCGCGGGATCGAATGCCGGCTGTGGTGGCTGCATTTTTGACGGAGGCGAAAATGCTGTAGGCCCGTGTGCTCAGATTTGGGTGCACGTTAAAGAAATTTGGTGGTCGAAATTTCCGGAGCCCTCCACTACGGTGTCTTTCTTAATCATATGGTGGTTTTGGGAGGTTAGACTCCACAAATCAGTCAATCAATTATGTAGCTTGTAATTGATAAAAAATTAAGTGCATCATAATTTGTGAGTGCCACAGACCTAGCTTATGAAGTTTTAGAAAATTTCATGGAGCAAATGTCGCAAAAATACGACAAATACTTTCTGAAATTTTCTCCTTCACGCGCAAAGATTTTGGCGCAAAATTTCAAAATGATACTTCAACCTCGGTTTTCTCCACTAATAATGAACATATGATAGTGAAACATGGGTTTGCAGTCTGTCACTAGTCATTGTTTCTCTTTAGTGTGTCTTTTAGAAAACCCTGAGTGGTTGAAATTTCTGGAGCCCTCCTTTACTGTGTCCCTCATAATCGTATCGTGGTTTTGAGACATGAAACTCCTACAATTATTATTATTGTCATTATTATTACTAATATATAATAATTATTGTTAATAATGCCTACCGTCCAACAAATCAAATTTTTATTGCACCTATTACATATAATCTGTACTTAGTAATCCCAAAACTTTCTTTCTTACAGATGAGGGAGTTCCATGCAATAGCAAGTAAGGTCCTTCAATGCCCATTTTCTTTCTTACTCATCTTCGTGCCACTTGTGAAAAGAATGAACAGCAGCACATTGCTTGTTACTTCGCATGAACATGTTTTTTGTAGTTCCATGCTCCCAGAATAATGTGCCAGCATTTTCCTGCATAATGGCACGAAAAACACTTTAGATTCCATTCAAAGTTTCAGGTATTGCATTGTGGCTCAGACATCGTATAACACTAACGGTTCTCATTTCTTGTGGCTTGCTGACTAGGCAACAAATTATGCAAATGAGGGGTTGGTGCATATGGCACAAGTTGGAATTGCAACTGTTCTCAATCAATGTATCGTTGATCAATAGCCATGAGGTAATGCCACAGATTTGGGATGTAGATTCAGACATCAACATGAGGCACCCCCAAATTATCACAAGGCTCCTTAAGAGAGAAGCAACGTAATTTCAATTGAGGTATGAATCTGCAATACATTACCCAGGTACGATGATCACACTGTTACAGTCATTATCAATCAATTCGTATCCACCACATAGTGAAATGGAACGTACATAGAAGGTACAGAATGTATAAGGCTAGATGTCAAAAATAGTATAATTTGAAAGAACTCAATTGGGACACTACATATAAATATGCCAGTGAGAAAGTAATTGCCAGATACCCTCAAACCTTGATATTGTAACAGACTAGAAGGGGGTGGAGAAGAGAAGCAGAGGAAAAGGGGGGGAGGTCCGTAGCTATTGCTGCTATCGAGTTGCATGAGGTTTCATCAAAGAGAGCTATCTTCATCCCGCGAGGAAACACAACCCGCGTGGCAGAACAGTTCAGCGCCCACAATGTTGCTACTCCTTTCGTCATGCACACAACAGAACAAGGCACAAGTATGTCCTTCTTAAAACAGTTCTTGCGCAGAGGCCCCACTACGAGGTCAACACAAGCATCATCAACCGCTGTGGAAGAGACTCGAACGGGTGTCAGGCACCAAGATGGTGCTATCACTTCATCAATCACACTAAGTGTGTTCCTGTCTTCGCCACGGTAGTCTTCTTCGGAAAGCGACGGTAGAAACAAATTGTTTAGTGATATTTCCTCACTACCACAGTCAACGGAAGCACCGCATTGCTCCAGGAAATCGATACCAAGAATGACATCGTGCGAACAACGAGATAGAACCAGAAATTCCGATACAAATACTTTTCCAGCCAATGAAACACTGACAGCACATACACCAAGAGGATTAAGCCACTCGCCGCCTACACCACGAAAGGTGATTGTATCGTCCCATGAAAACATAACTTTGCGACCTAAGCGGTTTCTGAAGGCGAGGCTCATCACAGACACAGTCGCCCCAGTGTCAACTAAGGCCATCGTCGGTATTTCATCAATCAACACATTCACTTTGTTTTTGATCATAACAATAGGCAGAGGTATATCTTGAAAAGACCGTCCGGCGACCTCACCTCCATTGGCCGCGGATGCTAGTTTCCCGGCGGCGGCGAAGAACGACGCAGAGGAGACGGCGAGCGACGAGAACGGTTGGATGGTGGTGTCAAACTCCGCTCGGATGCTGGCGAATCACTGCGTCTGGTCTCGTGCAAAAAACGGTCCTTTGGAAACAAGTCGGTTGTCCGCAGGTCATATGAAGCACCGGGTCTTAGTGGCGAAGACATGGCTGGTGTCCTTCGTGATTGGCGGCGTTGTTGGCGGCAATACTGAGCAATATGCCCAGTGAAACCACAGTTGTAGCACACGGGAGGGTCACGGTTTATACTGTATTCATCGGAACGAATCCTGGGCCGCTGCTGTCGGCGAGGAAGTTCGTTATCAGGCGAAGAACGGGTTTCTGCCATTCTCTGGAATCCACTGTATTCGCCGTAAGTCGCATCTTGGTAGTAGGGTCGGTACTGTCCTTGCCGCAGCGGGACGTAGTCCGGCTGAGAACCCTGAGTATAAGAATGTGGCTGTTCTCGTCGTGATCGCGCGTCATAGGCAGGGCTTCTATCGTATAGACGTGGCTGATACTGAGGTGTGGCATCAGAATCCTCAAAGCCCTCCGCCACTCGGTGCGAGGAGAATGAAGCAACGTTTCGCTCGAACTCTGGTGGCTGATAGAGAGGATGAGTGCTTGGGCGGTTTGCCACTTGCGCGTACAGGCCGAGTTCTTCACGTACGATCTGCCGGATTGTTGTTGCAAGATCAAGCGCCTGGTTGCTGTCTATGCTCGCAATGGTCGTCACATTGGGCAGCCTGCCGAGCTTTGGCGTGATGCGCCTCATCTTTAGTTGCTCAAAATTGCGGCAATGACGAATGACATCGGTGACAGATGTCAAGGTGTTTTTCCTTGAATCGCCGAGGAAACTGTAAACATCCTCGGCGATTCCTTTTAGAATGTGCCCGACTTTGTCTTCCTCAGACATTCCGGAGTCAATGGTCCTACATAGCTTTATGACTTCCTCAATGTAGGTCGTGCAAGTTTCACCTGGCATTTGAGCGCGTTGCATTAGCGTCTGTTATGCTCTTTTCTTTATCGTTGTTGGGTCGCCGAAACGCTCTTTGATTTCAGAAACAAATCTGTCCCACGTCGTTAGCGTTTCCTCCCGATTCTCGTACCACATTAATGCAGTATCGGTCAGAAAGAACACGACGTACAAAAGCTGAGAAGCGGCATCCCATTTGTTAGCGGTGCTCACCCGTTTGTAATGGATGAGCCAAGCCTCGACGTCTTCATCTGGTCTGCCGGCAAAGGGACGAGCATCTCTCAGTTGTGGAGCCGAACTGGTCGGCGCAGAAGTCGAGAGGGGTCGGTGTTCATTTGCGTTGTGGGACATGTCCAGCCCAGATGAATTCGGTGGAAGTCCAGCAATGCGACGGCTCCGTTGAAGAACTTGCAGTTCACCTTCCGTCTTCGGGTGTGGATTACCCAGCACGTCCACCACAACTGTAACAGCGAGCTGTGATAAGATGGTTTTATTTACAGGAGGTGAACGATGGTCGTTTGCGGCAGCACACTGCGATCGTGCCAAGACTCTTCGTCTTCCTCTGCTTCTCTTCTCCACCCCTTTCTAGTCTGTTACAATATGACAAACCAGATATAATGAATTATTGGTCATAACACAATCAACGAAAAATAGCTCTGTCATAGAGACAGTGCTGCAAATATATGTTTATAACAAATTTTCTTATATAACAAAGTATTTGCGTAACAGGTGTGACTTTGTTATGAGGTTTGAGAGTAGCAGCAAAGGATACTAGTCTCAGACAAGGCACTTTTAAAATGAAAAATATGCAATACCTTTTGTATGGAACATTTCTATATGAAATAAGGAATATTTTATATGTTTTCCATAGGTAATATTCATTGCACTGGTTGTTCAGGCTGCTTCATTGTGTCATCATTTTAGGTCGACCCAGACAAGTGAGCTGAGTTCACAAGATGCAGGTAAGGCACGAGTGTGTTTATGGCCTGTCTTTTTTTCTTCTTCTTAGCACATTTGTGTAGTAGTAAGCAATCCAATTTCGGTAGTTGGCCAGAGTGACTTATATGCGACTGGTAAGTGCTGAGGACACCGAGGTAGCTGTTTTCGTTGTGGCATCACTAAAAGAAATACTGTTAAATACAATGAGAACAAAGGTCTTATTCTTCCATTGTAATGGCAGTTAACACGCAAGGGATCATGCAGCAACCACAGGTGGCACACAAAAGATTAGATGTGGCAGCCACTAACAGACTGTGTATTGCATTTCAGATTCAGATGCTTCAATTTTTTTTAATTACACCAAGAAAGGTAAAGAAGCTAAAGGCATAGCAGTACCTGACTAAAGGCCTCTACACCACTTCTACAAAAATAGTAAACAAATACATAGAAAATCGTTTGCAGCATACGATTTTTTGTTTAAATGTAGAATGAAAAAGACAGACAAAAACACTTTTTAGTTGGCAAGGACTGTTGCCATGCATAATGGGGTTGCCCTGAAGTTGCATGTCTGTTGATTGCTGAACATTTTCTCGTCCATTTTGTTTGACCCTATTGGTCGCTACTCCTCACTCAAACTTGCACTGTACTGGTGCGAGTGTTATTCAGAAGGCTTGGGAATGAGCGCTTGTTACCTGTGCAGCAAGTCCCTTTGCCTCCAAGAAGGTACAGTGGTGCACCATTTTTGAAATTGGCCTGTGTGCATCATGCTAACTTGATCCTACTTGATGCATTGCTTGCTGAGAGAGCAAGTGATTTGTGGCAATCTCATAAGTTCCCTACGCGTGCTGCATTCAGTCCAATAATATTTAACTCACAAATTCGTAAGAATCAGCCTTGACTGCTGTTTGGCGGCATTTTCTGGCTATGTTCAATAATTGTTGCAGTGCCCCTTTAAGGGGTCCATGTGTCCTTTAAGGGATCCATGTGTTGGGAGAAGCTAGTAGACTGAAACTTTTAGTTCAAACCTATGTGCCCAGGCTCTTTGGAGGAGGAGGGATAAACTTTATGATAACAAACCAGCAGGTGTAGGTGGACGGGCCGAGGCCTCCCATGAGGGGACGTCAAGGGCTTCCCTCGACGACGCCTCACATGCGTGGTGGGTCCCCCAGGTTTGGTCATCAGGAGCAGGGCTCCGCAGAGCCTCATGGAGCTTCGACGAAAGGGTCGTGGCGTTAGTGTGTCTGTACTGTGCCGTTCACTCCCACAGCATATGCGGAAGTTAGTTTAATTGCAACTCTAATGCCTGACATAAACTTCTGTGGCTGGATGCACATGCACTAGCTTGGAAAAACATGGGAAGATGCACACAGCAACCTTTTAGACACTCTACATATCAACATTACTATACTATATTTGCATGGTGAGCAATCAAGCCACCAAGCTCATTTTTAGTACCGTCGGGAACGTCGAAAACGGCTAGCAGAATTCCTTCGCCGGGCCAATAGAGCTCAAGAACCTCGAATGTCTTATTCTTTTTTAAAGCAGCCAACACTAATCTATCACTCGACAAACTTGGTTCATTTGCTTTCTACTATGATAATTTTCTAAACTTCATTCCTATTAAAATGTAACCGTCATGGCTAGTGATTGAACCCAGACCCTCATGGGTAGCTGTGGAACCCCCAAGATGTGTTTTGACATAATGGAATATGTCTGTACCTCAAGGGTTGGATTTCTCCGGTGCCTATTGTTTGTCTGTTTATATGGCAGTTAAAAACTATTCAACAGCGAGGCAAAATCTGTTGTACATTTAGGGAGCAGTTCTCCTAAGTGTCGTTTTTATCTGTCTACCTTACAGGCCGTAAAAAAGATTCAGCAGGCGAGTTGCTGAAAACACAAAAGGAAATACTTCACGTACTCGAGCGCCTCGCTAAAGCTCAAGAAAAGCTTGTTCAGCTGAAAGCCTGGAAGTACGGTGTGAAACTGACTGACGAGGGTATTTCTGAGGAACACCAGAGTGCCAAACGCAGCGAGAGAAACGGCCTGCAAGCGCGGACGTCAAATTCAACATTGTGATCATGTTCTTCATTTTGTTGATGATGTCTTGTCTCTTGACTTCCAAAGTACAAAACATGTCAGTGTTTCATAGTGTAACGTGACCTCGTCCGATGTATGGCACTATGTTAAAGTAGTCTGCAAGAACTCCTACTTTTGGCCGTGTAGCATATGTTGATTGGCTAAGCCTGTGGGCCTCTTAGTCAAGTTATGTTTGCACCATATACTCTGCTGTAAAGATGTATTTCAAAAAGTCGTTGTTCATTTATGCAACTTTGTCTATTGTCTTGTATAAACAGTCTGTAAAACTGCCTTACCTGCACATAATTTGTCATCCATATAGCCTTCATATAGAGCTGACATATGATTATACCATTTGATATGGATTAGATCAATATATGATGGGCTTCATTACTATGCTTGAGCAAGTGTAAAAGGAAATACATGATTGTTGCACATAGCATATCTTGTAGCAGCATCGGTACGAACAGGCTGTAACTGAACAAGTCCTACAGCCTCAGTCTAGATCATTATGAAGGATATGCAGTCACACTGATGGCTGGTCACTTGTTGCAGTGCTGGATGTTCTTCCAACCAGTATACAAAATGCATTGGTCTCTTCCTGCTTTCGTGAGTCTCGTTCACCATGCTGTATTTTTGCTCGAGGTTGTAAGCAGGACACCTTACGTCCCAGTAATCGCACACTTATAGTCACTTGCAAATAGATTCGGTCTTGTTTCAGGCACATGCACAAATTATGCAGGGCCCATTGTGCTGTCTTGGTGACCATGGCGTTATTATCTGTTGAGCATTAGGTTCCGAGTCCAATCTACGGCTGTAGCAGTGCATTTTAGTGGATTGAACTTTATGGAAACCTAAAAGGTCAAGAGTAATCCACAACTCCTCACACAATGTCCCACACATGACATTGGTGAGGACAACCCACAATTATATTTCTTCATGCTATATAATGCAAGGTCATAAAGTGCAATAGCAGACTATATAGACACGATTGTATCTTTGCAACAGCTGTGCGAGATTGAAGTTTATTTCTTGTATTATCATTCAGCACTGCACAAGTTGTAGGCATTGGGATGCTGACTCCCTGTATGTGCATTCTTGCTACTTGATTTACTGAAGCCGTCCTTTGTAGACAAGTCACGTGGCAACATGAACTACAATGTTTGTGTTTACAATGAGGCAGTGGGTGCCAGTATAATGTTACATTTTGAAACACCTCCAAATTAAACCGTTTTAGGTCAGCAGCTTTATTAGCCAATTCATGCAAGCAGATGGCTTACATATTGTCTACTTGCATGAACATTATCCAACAAAAAGAGTGGCAAAAAGCAGTATTGACCTCCAAGTATGTTGCAAAAGTGACGGAAATACTGTCGCTTAGAAATCGCACATCATTTTCATGTTCGGTCATACAAGCCTTGGTGAATTGTAGCATAACTTGCACAATTGATAAGATGTGTTTGAAGAGCTGTACACAAGAAAAGGAAATCATGCCTGCTTTTCCCGGATTTTATGTTTGTAATATACGTTTGAGTTCTGCAGCCATAATATAGGCTACAATGGTTAAATAATACCGGTACTAGTCGAGTGTTGGCTTGTTCGATTGCGATTGTCATACTTTTTGTGTTTATAGGTATGTACACTAAGTGTACGAAATGTTATTTTTTTCTTTGGCATCGTCATAAATGTAGACACCGTGCTTACTTTGCGTGTATTTTATTTCCGCTATCACATTATGGCACTGTCTTTGCATTTTGCATCATAGATGATGTATGAACAATTAATCATAGGAAATAAAGAAATTCTCTCTCTTTATTTCCTTGGCCATTCAAACAAGACATTTTGCATACAGGTTTTTCATATAAACTAGAGTTCGCAACTCTTTTATACGGCTGTCATGTTTTGTCTATGTATGGCAGAAACAGCTGCTGTATTAATGTTTAAACAATTCTCATGATATGCTTGTTATGCTTGTTCACCAGTTGTGGCTTTATCATCCGGTGCCTTGCCTTTGAATGTGCAACACGTGCATGAGCTATGCCAGGGGCAACAGCATTACACTACATTTGCCATTTCCACATGCTGTGCAAGATTCAGCACTTCTGTCAGTTTCTTACTGGTTGATTGATATGTGGGTTTTAATGTCCGAAAACCATCATATGATTATGAGAGAGGGCTTTGGAAATTTTGACCACCTGGGGTTCTTTTAACGTGCACCCAAACCTGAGCACACGGGCCTACAACATTTCCGCCTCCATCGGAAATGCAGCCGCCGCAGCCGGGATTCGATCCCGCGACCTGCGGGTCAGCAGCCGAGTACCTTAGCCACTAGACCACCGCGGTGGAGTTTCTTACTGGTGTCCCCGGAGTATGTAAATGTTCTTGGTACACTATTAAAAAAATTGGCCCCATATCTGCATGTTTCGCTGCAAATGTCGTCGAAAGACAATAGTCTTGCGTCTGGAGAGAGTGAACAAAACATTTATTTGATGTCCTGCGCGAAAAAATCGGTTAATTGTCTTTTGAAGGTGCTGCATTAGAGCGTCTCGATCGGTGCAGTGAAGGCGAACGAGCGCTTCGAGGCACGTTAGACACAAGCGGTATCTGGCAGTTATCTTTGAAATCGAAGGAAGGCGTGCGCACCTGTCTCAGAGGCTATAAGATGCAGAATGCAAAGCGACGGGCAGGTGCCACCACTGTGTCGTCTTAGCAAAGCGTTGGAAGCACTTGCCTTTTGGAGCATAGCGTTGCATTGTCAGCGCAGTGTTATAAATGGTACGGTCCTTAGAATTACTTATATATGCCTTCCCTAGTATAAAGACACACATACCGAATATTGACATATTGGTATGGTGCTTCAGATATGTGCTCTAATTGATTTTTTATTGACAATCGCACAAGTATGAACCCTTAAATTTGAGAAATATTGGTGGGTGCTACGGATGGGGTTGGCCGTTTGGGGTATTGTTATGGTGGACGAACACACAAATGTACAGACAGATAGACAGACCAAAATTTTTGCGTCGAAGTAACCCAAGAAAGATTATCGTCTTTAATAATAAAACTCTTTTGCCCTGTTGGGCCAAACTATAAACAATTTGGAATTTCCAGTGTTGCATGGCACTATGCTGACCACTTGGTATGATTTCACGAATTCTGAGACTTGCATATTGAGTGGTCACACTTAAAAAAGGTTCCAAAATGCTAAGCTTCTAGCTGTGCTCTAGTTCTGTAATCGATTGTTTACAGAACCGTGAAAAAATTGGCGGTGGGACGTTGTGGCTATTAATATGGTAGATTCCTTCATTCAAATCCATTAAAAAGCATGAGGGCTCAATTACTAAAACTTTTGTAGTTAGTATACTAAGCACAGGCTAACAAGCAATAGTTTGCTACATCATGTCGCTGAGTGCGTGTGTGTCACTTGTATATTTTGTGGGAGATTAGAAAATATGCTTAATTGGCTGTGTGCTAAACGTGGAAGTGCCTGTTAAACAATGCATCGCATTTTCTGGGACGTTCTCCCACAAGCTGTGCACCAGGCCAAAAAGAGTGAGTGTGTGTTTGCGTGAACTCTGCGTCTCACCAATATCCGAATACTTGGCCGAGTTATCCCGAAATGTGGCCAACAAACATATGCTCTATCACAATTATTACACTAATAGAGAGTGTGTGTATTCTTGGATAATAGATTTTAGGTTGCCCTCATGCTTGGCATTATTAACTAATGTAGAATTCAATAATGCAATTATGCATGCAATTTCTGAATAAACATGAATAAAAGTTTCACGATATTGGAAGGTTCAATGCGCCCAAATAATAACTGCCATTCATTTGGAAAGTACGTTACTTGGCATGCCTACTACAATCAACATATCTACAGTTTCACGGACTGATTTAGTCAGATTAGAACACTTTTAATTTTAGTTTGATATTTTTGTGTTTTGTTAGCCTTGGTGTTTTATAGAAGTAATTCAAATTTTGAAATTAATTTGTTTGACAATTATGAGCAGGAGCATGCGTAGAGCTGCTCTGGCTGCGCTTGAGTGATCTGTTAATGGGTTCGATCTTTCACCCTCCCTTCAGGTTGCTCGTTGTCACATTTTGGCACACATGAACACCAGAGAGAAATCAAACGTTCAAATGGCATGGGAAGTGCTTACGCGTACCGAATAACGAAGGCTACTTGTGTTCTCCCGAAGTACAACGGTATAAAACGTTAACTCAAACGTGCGCGCCAACAGTTTCGGTTTCGGCCTTTAGCGCACTACATTACGCAGCGGAAGCTGCTACGACCTCTCGTGTGCGAAAAGGCACTCATTTTATTTTTTTAGGTCACGTGATCACTACGCGAGTGATTGAGACTAGATGTAGCGCGCGTGTTGTCAGCTTTGGGCAGTGCGATCGTGAGCGTTTTTTCCTCGCGCCGCCGCTGGCTCCCATCTTGGTTCGGCCGATCTTGACGCACTTTCTTGACGACGCTAACACGCGGCAACCATTGACGCCCTGTGTGCTTCGACGCTGCCGCCGCCGCCAGGGCCGACAGCCGAGGAGGGCAAAACCATGTCTGGCGATCACCGGACTGTCATCAACGGGAGCCCGAGCCAGTACGTGAAGCTCAACGTAGGCGGGTCCCTCCATTACACCACCATCGGCACTCTCACCAAACATGACAGCATGCTCAGGGCCATGTTCAGCGGCCGAATGGAAGTGCTCACCGACTCCGAAGGTGAGCCTCTCCTGCCGGTTTCGTCGATCCGGCAGGCCGCGTTTCTAAGCTTATGCCACTCCCATCACGGTTGGACGAGGGCTCGTGTTGCAGCGGCCGGTTTAGTTTCGAGCGAGAAACTGTGTCGGCTTTGTCGCTGTGAACGTTTGTCGAACCGTGGGTAACGGGATCTTTGTTTCGTACTTGTCGTATTCATTCGCAGAACGTGTTGTATAACTCTGTATTTCACGTGTTTCAAAGGATCCCGACTGCGTTGACTTGTCTCTCTAATTTTCCCTTGGGTTGTTCTTTCTAGGTTGGATACTCATTGACAGATGTGGGAAACACTTCGGCACCATCCTGAATTTTCTGAGGGACGGTTCGGTGCCGCTACCCGAATCCACGAGGGAGATTGCGGAGTTACTGGCCGAAGCCAAGTACTACCTCATCCAAGCGCTCGTGGAAAGTTGCGAAGCCGCCCTGCAGAAGAAGGAGAGCCCGCAAGAACCAATTTGCAGAGTTCCACTCATCACGAACGAGAAGGAAGGAAACCTTCTGATAAGCACTTCGACTAAGGTTGGATATTGCACTTTTTAGCAGAGTTGCGAGCGTAACAGGATGCACGATTGCGATCGGAATCGAGTGTCTCGATCGCGATTGACTTATCTGCTCGAAAGAGTCAATCGCGCTCGAGATATCGGGGGCCCGATGGCGACCTAGACTAGCCCGTGTCACACCCATATGAGAAACCATGCGCGTATGATGCACAAGGCCTAAGCAGGTGTGCTTGTATTCATCTTACCAACATTATGCGTCGTTTACCTTTAAGTACATTTGGAAAGTGTCAGTAGATTTTTGCAAATTGGCTATCAGGTGTATTGTGAATGATATGTTATCATAATGCTGTTTCAGCCTCTGGTCAAGCTGCTTATCAACAGACATAACAACAAGTATTCCTACACAAGGTAAGGCTTTGCTTTTTTGTCAGCAGTATACTGAATGTCAGAGATAAGATAAGTTTTGTGTGCGTGTTTTGCGCACGAAGGATTATTTTGCAACTTCCTGTGTTGCGTGTGGTTGGTCATGTATTCCAGTGTAAACAACCCCTATACCCGAGTCGGTGCCTGTTGCAACAAGTGTACGTGTTTCTGTATACGTTGCGGTGCGTTTTGCATCTCGTACAGGTGAATCAGTGCTGACACCAACTAGTGTTTGAAAATAATTTTGTAAACACTGTCCTAGTTTAGTGCTCACATTTTCTAAACTAGTGCCTAGATAACTTGCCAAAAAGGATAGACACACACACACACACATATATATATATATATATATATATATATATATATATATATATATATATATATATATATATATATATATATATATATATATATATATATATATATAGGGAAAGCACGAAGCAATAGAACCCAGCTACCTGTGCCGCTAAAAGAAACGATGTGATTATTCTTTTTTTTTTTATCCAAGAAGGATACATATGGGCAATGCTTAGTGGGTTATCTTGTCAATTTCTACGTTTTCTACAGTTTCTCTAGTAAGGTGATCAGTATCTGGACTCCACACGCATGTAACTAAACAAGGTCTTACACTTGCAGCATGTGTCATGTGCCACAAGGTAACCTCCCATATTGAGTTAGGCAGCGTTGTTCTTGTGTTGTTCTAATCTTTTGTTGAGACACCTGCCCACCTAGCTGATGTACTTTTTTGCACTGGACTGCTGAATAAGAGTGCATAACAGCTCCTACGTGAGTTAAAAATGGGTCCTTATTTCTTCATCATTACTGTAAAAACTCTGTTTACATGACACTATATGTTCTGCTGCTAAGAATAGTGTGTTATCTAGAGAACTATTTACAGATGTGCCCTTAATTATGTACCTTATTATAACTGAAGGGGTGGAGTTTCAACCCTTCAAAATTTTTTGACCATTGTATGTGTAGGTGGGTGCTCCACAGGGTTCTAATTCTCTTAGATAGGCCATGTGATTTTATTTCATATTTCGGGAGCTTTCCTTATGCCCCAGAAAAATCACCATTCAGCATATACGTTGCCACACTATATCATTGCATGGGGCATTTATAATGCCATCTACAATGTAACGAAATACATTTAAATGGCCTAACTAGTACTACATGAAGGCAGCCAATGTTGTTGATTTGATTCGTGCGCAGTTAACCACCTTCCTGTTTTTTTTAATCCGTGGTTCTCGTTTTATAAAACACGCTACACAATATATGAATCTATTCCATACATGTATATAAATTCAGGTGTGGACCTTCCTTTCTCCCTGAAATATAATTATTGCTCGTGTATAAGTGCTTGGTTTTACCTAACCAATGCCTTCTCAACCAGACCTGACCTGTTCATTGCACGGTTCCCTTTTTTTTTTTTTTTTTGCAGCACCTCTGATGACAATCTCCTCAAGAATGTAGAAATGTTTGACCGGCTGTCACTGCGGTTCTGCAGCCGCGTCCTGTTCCTAAAGGATGTGATAGGCAGCAACGAAATCTGCTGCTGGACATTCTACGGCCACGGTAAAAAGGTTGCCGAGGTCTGCTGTACATCGATTGTCTACGCAACTGACAAGAAGCACACCAAAGTGAGCCAAATTTTCTTGTTTCCTTTTACCTTCCATTTTCTACACAGTCTGCAGTGTCTAATTTCCTCAACCATTTGCCAGTTCTGAGGAAGTTTCAAAGTGTGACGGTTGTAAAGGGACACTAAGCACTGCTGGAACTTTTAGATTTCATGTTTTAGTGCAATGCAAAACTTGGTGTACACCAACTATTGGGATATAAAAGGATCCAAACTGGCTAAAGATAAAACGCACAGGGAATTTAGGGCTTTGGGTTTGCAAAGGTCCTTTTTTGTCACCTAAAAATGCAGAATGTAAAACTTGGCATTGTTGGTCGGGACTACCCACGTATCATGACTTAAACTTCCCTTCTTTCTTTTAATATATTCTAAGGTTGCCCCCATTGCTGTCTTGAAGCAACTCCAACTCCTGAAGGCTGTCTTTCGCTGCTTAGGTTATGAGAAGTTGAATGAACCATGCGGTAAAATACCATGTGAACCTGACATGTGAACATGTCAAACAGGCTCATGCTGGTTTGCATTCTCAGTGGAGAGGATAGATACCTGACAAGGGAAACCTATTCACTGCCCAGAACATTTGTTGAAATGGGCAGTATAGGACAGAGCGTTCACTTACAATCTAGTTCATTGCTCAAATGACATAGTCCTATCGTGTGAGCAGTAAACATGGTTGTAAGCGTGTACTCGGTCCTATCTTGTCCTTTCCTTTTCTCCATACGTCCTGTGCACTAAAAACAAGTTTTCCTTGCCAAGTACGTGTTACGAAGCAGCCACCTTGCTGACAGGAAAGTTGTGCCCTACCTAAATATTAATGACAAAAGTGTGAGCCAATTTCATTGAGTCCTGCTCTGCTAATTTTGTTCAAGCTTTGGCGCATGTCAGTATACAGTTGTAGGTGGTATTATGTTTGTGTGAACGACAGTACTGCAAATAGTAGCACATAATTAGAATGCCAAGTTGTTGTCAGTAAGTAATGGCGAATTTCGTCGACGCTTTCAGCCATTTATCTGTGTGTACTTTACAATTATTCAGAGTTGTAGCTTTTTGTATGTGTGTGTATTTCAAATCGTAGGATAATATATAAGGCTGGACAGCAACTGCACTGCTATTCGAGAATGGTTAAGGTAACTTGATTCAGATAAAATATTTAGTACAGTGACTGATTAGGCACCACCACGATTGTGTACCGCGCCTCATAGGCTATAAAGAACGTTTGACAGAAAATATTGACCATGGTCATGTTAGTGATTGCAACTCTCTGCTTTTTATCAATCAGTTTTAGCACACTTTCTGAAGAGTTCTGGGCACACAGAATCTGCTTAATAGTTTCTAAGGCTCCCTTTGTACTGTTAGTGACAAAATTAGAACTATTATGTTATGAACATCATTTTGTAATTACGTATTTCATTCAATTAATTTATAGCACCACAAAATTTTTAGTTCATTTTATCTCAAAAAATACTATTTGCACACTTCTAGTTAGTTGAATGAAACCAAGTCATTAAGATTCATGGTTGATGTTAACGAAGGCTTTTTGTTTTTTTGTTATAACCGAATAAACATGTGATCCTAAGCATAATTTAGAACAGCAAAAGCGCTCACTACTGACTTTCAACTTTTATCCTGAAAAGATTGTTTCGTCACTATCATCGGCATGTTTGTATACTTTTCACAAGCTTCCATCATTGCAGTGAACATAATTCACCTAGCTCGACTGGCCCTTCCTTGATTAATCACTTAAGTCATGAACAAGCCTCCTGAACACGCTACATACCTACATACAGCATCGTCGTCTTCTGCCCTTCTCTCGTCAGGTCGAGTTCCCCGAAGCTCGCATCTACGAGGAGACCCTCAACATCCTCCTCTACGAAAACCGCAATGGCCCAGACCCTGAACTGATGCAGGCGACGAGCACGCGAGGTGCCGTCGCTCGTGCCACCACCTGCTACACGAGCGACGACGAGGACGAGCGCCGCGCACCGGTCGGCTCGTGCAGCGGCTGCACCAGCACGCGAGACTCCCGGGAGTCGTGCCACCTGGGCCGTATACGAAGCACCAAGCAGAGTAGCTGAGGTAGCGTCTACGTCGCTGCCTTACTCCTTCGCGGAATCTCGCCGGCGGGGGCAAGGTACCGGCAGCTGTCGTTCGGTCGCTGCAAGCCGAGCCTGGCTTCTTTCTGCTGTCCCTACATGGACCTCGCTTAGCGCGGAGAAAGAAGTGCAATGCCTCGTGCAGCACTTGTTTTGTGGGTGACCACGCTTCCTCGCAAGCCAGTGGGAATGGAGGCGCAGGGAGAACCTGTATCCTTCTCCGCTCAATCTAGTGCCCCATTTCGTCTAGGCCTTCGATGTTGTGTGGTTGTAGTGGTCGGCTTCGTCTTTTAATGGAGGGGTGTCCGACCTTCCGAGAGTTATATTGTGACCGCTTGTAGTGAAGTGTGCAAGTTGATGGTACTTCTTGTGTCATGTGAAGCACGTGCTTCAGAGAAAGCTAGCTGCATTGTGTGCCTGGTGCACTTGTTTGGGTTTTGATATTGTTGGAAGTTTACGGGATAATACAAAGCAAGTGTAGTACATGTAAAATGGACTGCGTAAGCCTTGAGGCTGGTAGAGCCGCACTGTCCCCCATTGGCTGATCAATTCAGCTACCACCAAAGCCAGGTTGTTCGAGCAGAACATTGTGCTATGCCTTGATCCGGAGGTGTCCACCTGCCGAGTTTCCATGAACATCGTTACAAAATTGCTGCATTACCGCGACACTGAATCTCTGTTTTACTGAAAAAGTTCACATTTGGTGAGCTGGCATGACTTGCTCTTTGTTCCTTCTATCGCCACAATGTGGCAAAGTTGTTGCGTGGTGTGTCTCTGTTCTTACTTCTTTTCATTTGGATGTCAGGATCTCTTTGCAACACATCGGCAAAAGACGAGTGAATTAGTAAGCATTGTGAGGTGGTGTGCATTGACATCAAACCAAATATTTTGCTGCACATAGCTGTGCTCAAGAGCCGGAGGGCAGGTGTGTTACTTACAGCAAGGGCTGCTGTTGAAGGGAATGAGTGTGGCTCACTCTTTCAAGGTTTCGGCAGAAGCAATGTCGTTGCAATGCACAGGTCCTTGGAGCGGCTTTCATTGTGGATTGTTCCTAACAAAACGGGGCATTTCCATGGTTCCCAAGAAAAAAATTTTGCCGATGTCTCCAAATTGCCGTGTTCCCTTCAATAACGGACTGCGCTGCAAGCGTTTCGCGATTCACTGAGTGAGCACTTTTGATGGTTTACCGAAGTTGTTAAAGCGATCAAAGGTGTGTTTTTGTGTGTGTGACCATACCTGCAGGTGCTCAAAACGTACTGGTTGCAGGTGCTCAGCACGTACTATCCGGTCTGAAACTTCTGATACTCTATGGCAGCAAAGTCATTGCTCCCAGAAGGGACCCTGTGTGTGGGTTGTGCCATGCTCCACCAGCACGTTAGGTATGTTAAAAAAAAAAATCGCTCGAGCTCCTTTTTTTATTATTAATATTATTAAGCTGTTTTCATTTCAACCACTTTCTCAATATTGTACAAAATGGTCTCGCTCCCATCATAGCATGCAGCTCACAGTTGAGGCTGGAGTGCGTTTTCTTCGTTCCAGTTTAGTATTTATTTCTCTTTGCACTATACAAATGCATCATACCTAATCAATGAATGCTCTCGATAGACAATGGTGACTTCATTACAGAAATTTTAGTCTTATAATCATGTACACTTGACACTGTGGCATTGTTGAAATGTTGCACAGCCTGTTGTCATGTAAAGGATCTCCGAATGAGCTCTAGAAATGGAAAGAACTGGCGTGTTCTTTGCTCTTGGTTTTTCCCGTCTCTTCATGGTGCATTGCCATGCAACCAAAATTACTCGCTTAATATCACTGTACAAGTTTTGAAGTGGCCCCCATATGAAGAATATCAGTTGTGATTTGTCTGCCGCTATACTTACCAAACTTTGCCATGCAGCTTCACGTCATTCTCACACTGTCAACTGATTTAACCTCATGTTGTGGGTTTTGTACTACCCGAACAAAGGTAGCTGTAAAGTTGGAAGTCTTGATAGGTACAGCACTCGGTACAGGCATCAGCCACGAGTCATCACTTTTCAGAAGCTCACAAGGTGGCAGTAAAACTGCTGTAGCCAGTGTACTTCAGAAGCATTCCAATGGCGCTCACTAGGCTAGTGTGTAAGGCCACTTGAATTACTCTTCATTTGGATAAATGTAGGGTGTTTTTCAAACTTAGTTGAGACCAATGGTACTATGGTGAAGAATTACACAGCCACCTACCCAATAATAACCAAAAAGTAGTCTGTGGGCTTTCCAAGAAATTGAGGTACTGTGAGAACTGCAAACGAGTCAATTTCTTCCTCCGCTAAGTGGATGACCCGACACAGCTGTTACGACTTACATGCTATCAGAAATGATTTCTTTATAGGAAGGTGCTTGTAATTTCACTCATTTATGCATGCTTTCTTACAATCGTCAAATGTGGTACCTTAGTCCTAACGTTTTTAATCAAAAAACGAATGTGCTAAACGTGCGAACTCGTTCGTTATTCAGCAGTATCTGGCAGCATCACTATCAAGGTCTGCCTTTTAGAATACGACTTCGAATGAACATTTATTTCTCACACAACAGTCTCTTGTCTGGTGTAGCTTGGGCACCTATCACATACACATGCTACCACTTGTGTAACGTTTAAGGAAGCATGGCTCTAGCTTTACGCGCACATCTTGTTCGAAAGGTGTAACGTAAGTTTCGTGGTGTGGCCTAGAGCATGCATTTCACTGCGACGTTTTTGTCGCATGTGTTAATGTAACAAAACGATCAACGACGCTAGTATTTACATGGGATAAAAAGGCAATGCTGACACTTTCTCATTGAAGTGTGGTTCTGCCTGTACTTCGCTGTGCTAGTTAAAACTACATGGTTATTTCTTTTCCCAACGTGCTGTACAACTATGCTGTGTACTGTGTTTCAGTATAGAAATGTTGACTCCCAAGATATGCCATATGGCAGTACTGTACGTATATAGGTGGAGTATACGTATATTGGTGGAGTACTGCCATATGGCAGTGCTCCACCTCCCTGGAATGAAGACAAAATGGAGGTTCAAATGGCTTTTTCACGAAGCGATTGATCTTCCTCATAGTGTGGTTCCCTTTCAAGCACTGTGAATGCATCATTTTTTGGTCCCTATGCAAGCGCATAAGCTTGGATAGACATGGGATGTCCAGAACAGAAGTTGTGTCACTCGGAAAGTCTTTGTCCAAGTAGGCCAGATTGATGCGTACCTGCCAACCTTAAACTGCTAAAATTCTTGAAGAATCGTGCGCAGAAAAGGTTTGTATGACACATAATCAAAATTTCGACCTCTATTCAACACTTTTCTGGTGTTTGTACAAACATTATCGATTGTGATGTGACCTAACATTCAGCACATATGTGGTGGCAAACTTAAAACAGCACAGTTTTTTAGAAACAGTGCTGTTGACATTACCTGCTTCAGAGATAGAGAGTCATCTTGCTTGAAGCAAGTGCTCACTCTGGTATGTGACATCTTTGTCACCTCACCTTTGACCACTGTGAAGTCTTGTTTTAAAACGATGAATTGTGTGAAACCTTCTAATAGAGCTCAATTTTCAAGCTTATAAAATATTTGTGAATGTTGGCAGGTATGCTTGACCTATCTTTATAAACTCCTGCAGGACTCCTCAGGGTTTTGGAGTTCGCACACAATATTTTTCCTTGTGCACGATGTGATGCCATATTGTAAAAGCACTTTTCGTATGGCATCTCAAACATAACTACTATTATGCTGATGGCTGTAAGGAGCATCTAGTCCTATCAACGTATGGCTATTTGTCAACCATCTAAAAAAAAATAATGTGTACATGAATGTGGATTCTGTAAGGGTTTGCAGTGCCACTGTGGTATGTCGTTATCGGCAGTTTAAAGCGGGAATGTTTCCTGCCAAACGTAGGTATGTGGGTGTTGCTATGTCATCTGGTTGTTGTAAGTTCACTTGTATACTCTATGTTGCGATGAAGCTGACACTCGATTCTCATGGCAAGGAAGAGGAGAGAAGCATACATTATTGAGCTGGAAGTTCTCTTGAAACTGCCAATAACTGCTCTTCACCACCATGACTGGTCATTGAGTATTTGATGCTGTTGAAATGGCTCTGAAGCTTTCTTCTGTAATGAAATCATTTTGATCCACTGGTCAATGTTTTAATGTTTTTTTCTTGACTTTGATGCAGAAAGCAGTGGGTACGACCTCGAAAAGAAAGCCTCACTTCGTGTCAAAGTTTCAAATGGCTTTTGTGTGGCTGTTCTCAAGACCCATCTGTTTGTATGAGTTTCGCAACAGCAGTTATTTCTTTATTATTATTATTTTTTTCAATTCTTCCCATTCCTCTGGACTGCAGCATCCAGAAACCAAAGGCACGGAGCCTAGCTTTGAGGGCCTTTTCAGCGCATCGATGAAGTTGCTCACACCAAGTTTTTCTGTCGCTTGCAACTTAAGTGTTTGATGTTGCATGCACATGTACATTTCACCTGCCATGTATATCGCACATGTTCAGAGTTTTGCTCAGTAAAGTAAAGGCCTTGTGGTGTCATTTTGCTGTCTTGGTTCTGTAATCTACCACAGTGTCTTCAGAGTGTACTTGCATGACACAAAAAAAAAATAAACACAACACAATAAGACAGGTAAACATTTACCTGTATTGTTTTTCTTTTATATATAACACAGGGCCCAAAAACTTGGGAGCCCCCCAAAAAATAGCATTGAGGCCACTCTGCATGCACAAAACCCAAACCGCGTTCGGTATGCTATGGCTCATAGTGGTAGCCCCTAAGCCTGCCTTAAAAGCTTTGCATCAGAATAACGTGACTGCACCCACTGAAGTGACTGCTCTCGGCAGTACTAGAGTGACCAATTCAATGAGTGTCCAAAGCACCGCAGACTCCATTTGAAAACTATTCGCTCCTGCTTGAACCGAAGTGTGCATAGACATAGTGCTTTGAGGCCACTACTCGAAACTCCCCAATACATGCTACAGTTATGGCACTCCAGCCTGCCTGAATGGCGACCCTCCGGAGCAGTGCAGGTTCATTGCAGTGAGACTTTAGTGCACGAATTGCACAGCAAAGAGAGCAATGCAAAAAAACAAGATTATATGGTAGCATTCAACATGACAGCTGTAGGAAGCATGATGCAGCAATTCGCCATAGCCTTTCAGCAACACTTCACAAATGAATTATTTCCCACTTCCCTTTTTCACCTGCTATGCACATGCCTTGCACATGCACCAGCATAGCATGTGCATCTGCACATGCTATGCTTTACCCCCCTCCTCACTTATCTATGCTCTCCACTCGGTCAGCTATTCTATGCCTCACTGACACTTTCCTTTCTCTGAGGTAATACTCTGGGCTTGAAGTATATGCTAGGCCAGAGGCACACAACACAGACAGTGAAAAGGTTCAACACACACAAGCGTTGCTATGACCCTTTAAAGACATGGCTATGCTGTAGCACTGCGTTTTGTGTGCGTGACGGTAATCGACCGACAGCCCGGGCCTCTTTAGTGCTGCACATTTAAAACAGTTACCAGATTCAGCTACTAGGCAGCCACGCAGTATCGTCATGGGTATCGTGTCGAGCTTCCTTTTCACTGAACGATGGGTATCTTGTGTCACGATACGCTCCACTGAGGTGGCGTCTCTGGCTGTGACCCAGAAAACAAATTTGACATTTTCCGGGTGCATAACCGTTCGCCAGTGTCACAGTGCCGCTGTCGCCCGCACTGCACCAACATCCCCTGGTCTATTGGGTGTTGACTACAGGCGGCACTACCAGCGATAGCCACACTACAGTGAAGTAGAATACATTCTAGTTCACTATAGCCACATGCGGAGTGCGTAAAAGCTAACGTCGCAATTCTTTAGTACAAAACGTAACCAATAAATACAAACAATCACAATCGCCCCGACGAAACCGCGAAGCCTTTGGTGCCCGAGATTCGGACAACTCGGCAAAACGCGAAAGCGACACCGCACATTCAGTTCGTTTTACACGTCGAACAATTCAGCGGTGCTGTCGCCCACGGCAACTCCATCATCGTCCTCATCCTCGCCTCTGGCTGGTAAGTTGGAGAGTATCGCGACGGCTTTACGCCGTGACCGCTCGGCACTTTCTAGAAGCATGTCGTAGTGGCGCTGCCGTGCGACGGGCATTCGAGCGGCGTCGTCGTTCACTAAAGGCCGCCCAGGCTCTAAGTGCACGTCCTCGGCTAGCAACTCGTTCCAGCGCTTGTGCTCGGCAACCAACGACTTCAGAAGCTCGTGATGCTCGGCGGCGACGGCCGCTGGTAAGACGTCAGCTGGCTGTCTTCGTTCTTCGAAGTGGTCAGCTTCAAGAGCTTGTCCAAAAGGTCGTCGCCGCCGTCTCCGCTACTGTCGAACATCGACAGACCCTGAACCAACAGTTTCTCGTGGAGGTCGTCAAAGCCGTCCACCTCATCGGCCAGTGTGGCCAACGTGCGCCTAAAGCAGAGCCGAAGGAGGATGCGTAGACGGTCTTCTTCGGGGATGTCCGTTGGCAAGTCTTTCACGAAGTTGTCCTGCGATGGCAGCAAGGAGATGCCCCGACTGGACCTCCGCCGACCCGATACCGACGCCGATCCCGTCGCCATTGGCGATTTTCCTTTGCGGCGCGGGCGTAGTTACGTTATGGGATAATTCACTCAGTGTGACGGCACGTGTATGAGGAGCCAACTTTCTGCGAACACTAATGCGTTGAATCGATCGCCGCGCAACACTCTAACACCACAGAACACAAACACAACGCCGCGGAAAGCGTGTGGCCACATGAACACCTACCAGTTTGTGCGGCGTCCCGACGCCGGCGTTGGGCGTCCTTTTCGAAATTTACGTGATCCGGCCGCCAGGTCGGGTTATGCAGACAATTTGCGCGACAAACAATGTTGTTTTAGAGGGCGCTAGCTTTTGTTCAATATTATTTAACGATGCTTAGCTTATTTGTTTTACCAGATGCACATAAAATTTATTCTGTTAACATAATTTTTAAAAGCAACTGTGTATTATTATTTATTAAATATACCGTTAAAAAACGGTTGTACGCGAAAAAAAAATGTCGCCTAATTCAACCTGCTCGTAGACTGCAATATGTTCGATCAACGCGTCCTGTTCGGTAGACTCCAAAATGTTGGAAAGCAGCACCAAGAATGTGTTAATTGGCATCTATTTCCGAAATTCCCTCGATTAATAGTACAAATAGCTTTACCGCCAATTTTCATGAGTATCGGCCTGCCCCTCGGAGGAAACCAGTTCAGAGGAGGCGCTAGGACTCTTTTACCGGGGGAGGGGGGAACTCACGACAAGCTCTGTTGCGCAATAAACTCAATTCAGTTCGAAATGAGATCCTTCAGAAGGTCAGGGAGGCTGGTAAGGCTGTGTTTTGAATATACTTGCTCTAGGCGGGGGGGGGGGGTCAAAGGGGGGACAGGCAGTAATCTTGCAGGGTGTGTCCTTCTGTTATCCTTATTCATGCTGACTGCAAGTGGGAATTGCTCACACTAATCAGTTTCTCCACAACCCACTTAGTATCCCGCATAAAATTGGGATTCCCGGTCATTTTAGCAAACTGCGCACGCACGCACACACATTTCCCTTGTCCTAATAACTCTCTGCACCTTACAAGCGCAAGTGTCTTGGCACATTCATAGAGTAGCTTTAGATTAAAATCGTTCACGACTAGTTCTGATTAAGCTACTGCAATACACAATAAAATAAAGTGGGAACTGCATAGACATGCAAGGAAAATAGCGCATGTTCCATAGCAGGACGCCCGTACACCTGGATAGCTCCATGATGGGATCGGCAGGGATAGCCTGAGGGACATATATCGCTGGCTCGGTAGACAACCAGGACTCGGTCACCGAACGGGAGACCGCGCAACAGCCCCTCTCTTCCCTTCAAAGCACAGAGCTCCATGCTTGACGTTATTGGGTTCATTAACGCTGGCACATAACTGAAGATAGCAAACAACGTGACCACAAAGCCCTCTGGACATCAAAGCGAGATTTGAACGACAGCCTCCGGAAGACAATCCGCCGTCTCCACAAGCTTCGTCGTTGGTGAAACCTATCCGTCACAGTATAACCTCTCCTGGCGGACTCAAAGTTTTTTTTTTTTTAAACATGCGCAAATTTGCCGGCCGTGGGATTGTGTTACAACTAAAGGACGAAGAAGGGGCGGCAGGCAGGAGCCAGTGGCGCTGGCTCGCTCAGTTGTTCATTTGACCTTCGATGTAATCAGGTGCTCTGATGATGATGATGATGATGATGATGATGATGATTACGCCTTAAATTTGGCCCATATCCACTAAGAGGGATCGGCCAAGAACTAATTACCTGAGCTAGGCGTTTTCAATGTTGAATATTTATGAACAAGTTCTGTACGTAAAGCGAAAAGAGTCCTATAAGTGTTATTACCCCGTCCAGACCAGACAAAATAATGATTGTCTTGACTAACACTGAACTTGCTTGAAAATAATTCATACTAATAATAATCACACTGAAAAATAAAACAACTTGTCTTGTTTTTTTTTAATGTTAAGCTATTGCTGCACTAATGAGACACAATTAGGCAGTTCAAGTCTCATTCATTTTGTTTCGTAAAAATAAGCACAAACGGCATCAAATACATTCCTGTGGCTGAAGCTCAAACTCGCAGCACCGAAGGTAAGTATATTGTCCCTTGACAAATTCAGCCCCTGCTTAGAGAACGGGATATCAAGTAGTCTTTTACTTAGAAGTCTGTACTGGTGACATAATAAAAAATATATGTTCTATTGTTTCGGGCTGTAAAAACAAATTGAATAAAAGAGATATCACCAGACCAGCCCTGTATGAATACAAGTTTAACGGGGGGACCACACGACAACGTAATCTAGTTAATACGACTTCCAGTTGTCTGCCAGGACACCACTGAATTTTCCACGGAAATTTTAAATGACTGAACTCTGCCCACGACGTAATTAATTCTATGGCATCTGCACGAAGCGAAAATTTTTGGTACCTTATCGCAGTTACTGTGGCCACCTCAGGTCAGGGTCTTCTTCTTCGTTCCTCACGTGCACCTCCCAGATACTCTCCGTAAAATTCATCATAAACATCTTCCTTTAACTGCCGGTTGTCAGAGAAGACAAAGTGTCAGTTCAATGCTGTTAATCCAACACTGTCGCCGTTTCGATTTATTCAGGCAAAGCATACTAGCACCACCTCTCCAAATACTGGGCTTGCAATTATCACAACCTGATCTTTCATTTGGAGTCTGTATACACTGGGTTTCAGCCACAGGGATGTTTCATTCGCCGTTCAGGAATATATCACTGCGACTAAACGATTTTCTTGCTAAATTACGGTCTCACTATTTTTCTTTATTTTCTTTTCTGCAAACTTGATATCGGCATTTCAAATCAAAATTAACTTACAAAAGTTTTGTAGGAATGATGCAATGCTGAAAGTATAGGGCAAATTCACCTTATAATCGGCCAATCCCCTTCTTTGGGTACGAGCCACTTGCACAGGGAAACAACAACAACAACAACAATAATCCCACACAGTGGGTGCGAACCATAGCGGCAAACCAGCCATCACGTGCGGCACGAAACGACCGCTTCTCGAGTACAGCTGCCGTGCGTGCTGTGAAGAACGTCCATCCGGCGAGCGGTCGCACTGAAGCGGTTGCTTTCGGTCGTCTCGTGTAATACGCGCCTCACTCGGTCACTGCCGGTGAACCGGCCGACATGGCTTGTTACTGCGAGTACGTGCTGACGGCCAGCGGGATCCTGAAGCTGTTCCAAATGGTCGTTGGCGCCGGCATCGTGTTCCTGCTGAGCGAGGGCCGCCTGGACGCCAACTGCTACCTGTCCATGCGCCTAGACGCACTCGTCCTCTTCATCGCGTCCATCGTCTTCTTCTTCAACGCGCTACTCATACTCGTCTGCGTGCTGGTCGGTGAGTTGCCGCGCCCTTGTGAAAGTGTCCACGGACAGTGCCGTAAAACCATAAAGACCACACGGGAGGAGACACATCTTCAAATGGTGGTCGTATTGTTTTTAAACACATGTTTTACTTTTAATCATACTAAATTAAAATTATGCATTCACATGCTGTAATTATAACAATGAAAATGAGCATGAATATCAGCACCTGGTAAGAAGAAATACCACTGATAATAGAAAAGTATTTAAGCGATATCACATGGTGAAGCTATAGTTTCTATTAGCAACTCGTAGGCAGGCGCTAGTATTTTTGCAACTGCGTTATCCTGGTTAAAATATTCAATACAAATACAGCACTTTCTGAGCTAAAGCATAAAGGTATTGCATGCCGTAAATGTACCGGCTAGAGGTACTTCGTTTCTGTACAGTGGAAGTGCTTTAAATTTCAGAGTTGGTTTTACGGAAAGTGCGTGACCCTCGACTGTCGAGAAATTCAAGACATTAGTGTTGTATCGCGCGCGGGACGCGACGCACGCAGAACACGAGGCCCGGCGCCCGAAGTGCAGGCCAAGAAGGATCAGGAAGTGACATGGCCGGGACCCGGGCGGGAAAACTCCCTTTGCTATGTGTACAAGCATGCCCCTATATACATTCGTACGGTGCCCTTTGGGGGGGGGGGGGGTGCAGAGATTGAGTTTGAATTGAATTGAATTGAATTGTTTATTTTCAACATAATACATGTCGAGGGATGGTATGGCTAAAGGCAGAATTAACTGCCTGACAATGGCCCTACCACCCAAGCACTGTCCAACAGGGTTGTGGCTATCAGTAAGAAATTATACATTAGAAAGCGGAAGCTCAGCACGGAAAAAAAAAAAAAAAAAAACATGACATAGCGCTACTTGCAAGGGACGACGACATACATATAGGAATAGTAGAATTGAGTTCTTTAATGTAACAGGTCTTAAGCCACATGTTGTTAGAGGTCTACTCATACTATGAAGGGCACGCAAGACAGCAAATATAATTTAACAACACGCTTAAACAGGGATTTAGATGAAACTTCATACACATTGCTAAGTAATTGTGGATGCTGGTTTAGGAAACTAGGGATCATGTATTTTAGCTGTTTAGTACCATATTTTGTTCTGCAAAACGGAACTTCGAGGTGGCTGTGTCGCAAAATATATGGATTGCGGTTAGTCAAGTACATGTGTGTAAACATAGATTCATTTTGACGCATTTTACTGTGTATGTATGTAGCAAGTTTGAGGGAGTATAGCTGATCCACTTTTAATATCTCATTTTTTAAAAAAAACGGTGCTGTATGGTCAAGATAAGCAAGGTTTTCTATGTGTCGAACAGCTTGTTTTTGGAGGAGTGTCAGCCTGATTAAGTTTGTTTTGCTTGTAGTACCCCAGACTAAGAGGCAGTAGTATAGTTGAGAATGTATGAGTGTATAGTACAGCTGACGTTTTAGCCAAGTCGGAACCAGATGCCGGATATTGTAAAACACTCGATTGGACCTGGAAATGCTAGTATGTAATTTGTTTACGTGATGAGTCCAGCTCAAATGTTCTTCGAACAATACTCCCAGAAACTTAAATACAGATACCCGTTCAATAGCGCAAGCATCAAAACGAAGAGAAATGTCAGTGACATCGGGTTTATTCTTAGGTTTAAAAACAATGAATTTCGTTTTAGTAACATTTAACTGGAGCTGGTTGAGGGACAACCAAATCAGCAGCTGGTACAACCAATTGTTTGTTACTATTGCCAAGTCAGCTAAATTATGACCAGAGAAAAATAAACTGGTATCATCGGCGTAGAGAACCATTTTAGGCGTAAGTGGTATATTCACAATGTCGTTGATATAAATTATAAAAAATAGAGGAC